ACATCACCCAAAATGTTGGAGTCATTTTCAAAACGGATTTACTCGAGCGTGCATGACAAAATGTTTCACAAAAAGAACCAGGCTCCAGATCTTTGATCTTTGATCTATGTATTATTTATTTGCTAGATTAGTACAGGGTTGAGATTGTCGATGTTCTGATAATGCGAATGTTATTACGATCGGGTTGATTAACGATGTGACGGGGAGTCGTGTCTAATCATGGCATAGAACCCACACTAGACTAACGAGGAAATAATACTCGATAAAGAGGAGGTTTTCATTTTTTCTATGGAGGATTACTTGCTGAATATAATACATAAAAAGAACTTGTGAAATATGGTCAAGGCCATCAAGGTATATCATGTCAAACCCAATCAGATATTCATTGTTGAAAAAGAGATTCGATGCGTATAAGAATGATCAATGTTCCAAAAGCATCGCATTTGTCTTCCATAGTCCCAGGAGACAGTACATCCGATAGTCACTTGAGGATAATGTTGTCTCTGGCTAGATTTCCTCGATTTAACGATCTATTTCTATGTTTATTTTGGAAGCAATTGAAAATTGCATTTTTAAATAAAACATTGGATGAATATGACAAGATTGATGGAAATGGAAAAAAAACTTTGAATGACCAAACTGTTGGGTCACATAAAGATTTCAGATCTAAATCTGGGACAACCTATTTTGATATTCGTCATGAAATTACCATGCAATGTGTCTGCAAACTTTGACATTTTGGAATGATTGAGAAAAGGGCACATATCAAATAAATAAATATACTTTTAATTGATTAAACACCTGTATTATACTCGTGTTCCATTGTATCAAATTGAGCACATTAAAAAGGCAACACTGGGAACATCTGCAAGAAGCTAAATGAAAATGTATTTTCATTATTAGTATTTCAGAGAACCAATAATCGTGTACTGTTTATGAGGACATATCTGATATTCTTCTTTCTAATTTTACATTTAATCATACTTTTGGGACTGTGTGGGTTTTGTAGATGGTTGGCTATATATAGGGTGTCTCAAAAATGTGTACCCAAAAGTATATCAACAGCAAAGATAAACCAATTAATGTTTTCAGATATTTTTGCATTGTCATTTAGGCAAAGCATGTAAGTTTTCTCCCCAATACTAAATTTGTAGTTCAGTCTTGTGTTTAATGCTTTAACCCTTTTCAATGTTCGATTCAACCTCCCCATATTTCGAGGAGACCCTGCATCCTTACATTGTACATGTTACAGTGTACAAAAAGGCAAAACTGAACTAAAAACTGTGTATTGGGGAGAAGGCTTACATGCTTCAGCTACATGACCATGCAAAAAATGTCTGAAAATATTGATTGGTTTTTCTGTGCTGGTAACATACGTTTGGGTACATTTTGAGACACCTTGTATATTACGGCTGTTATGGTTTCCATTGCTGAGGATTTAACAAGTCATTTTGATTCATCATAAAATTCTATTGTATGTTTTACATTATTTGTTTGGTACACCTCCTCAATTCACTGTTGAGGGATTCATCTAAACTTGCTTTCAACAGGATATAGCTATTCCTGTATAAATCAAATTGCTATATAGACATGGACAGTAGTTTAACACTATCGTGTAGATAGAACTTCTGAAGAATAACAGAATTAAATTTTGATAACTTTAACGCTGAATTTTGGATGGCATTGTTGTGTTTTTGTGTCAATCTGTACAAACAGTTTGCGCGACATTCTCCCAAAATGTCTGCTCGGCTAGGAATCCTAGTTGGTTCACTCTAGTTGTATAGTGGTGTGTATAGTCTTTGTGTCACACCTAAAGCATCATCCTTCTTCAAAGGACTTCATTTATGCTCAAATTCATACTATATACTTGTAAAATACCCTTGCAGCAAGGATGCTAAAGCATTGCCTGTAGTAACTTTTAACTAGCAATCGGCAACTCAACGGACTAGTCCCAACAAACGCTATATTTATGAATCTGTTAATTTCACAATGTGATATTTACCACTGATCTACTCTACCCCTGACTAAATTGGCAAATATTCCATTAAAGAGTTTCAAAGGCACAAATTCATGAAGTCATTGTGAATTTCTTTTACTGAGGCACGGATCAGAAAAAACAATACCATAATTGTATGATCTACTCTAAAATTCCTTAAAATTTTCCTTCAAATTAAAATTTGAGTATAATATAGCCATACTTTGAAGGGATCAGAAATTTATTGCGAAATCCCACATTAGGTGGCCATTTTGAATTCTACAAGGCCCAAATCAGAAATTGTCTTTCATTTGAGTCTAATAAAGCAATACTGCGGAAAGATGTCAAAATTATCGAAACTGTCTGTTTTTCCGACCCCCTCCACCATACACGGTATGGTACTAAACTTTCAATAATATTTATTACTTTGATTTAGAATGAAAAACTCAAGATATTTGCGAAAAATTCACGCCAATTTTAAAGCGATGGCCATGTTGAAAGATATTTTGAAGGACGGACTGACAGACGGACGGACAGATGGCTTCACTACATCCCTACCGAACTTCGTTCGTTGGGATAACCACTGATTGTGCAATCTTCTTGACTTGAACCATCCCCATACCACGCAACAGTCTCAAGCGGATTACAGAATGGGACTTCAATTATGCACTCTATCGGTACATAGCGATATTATTTCAACTAACCAAACTAGTGAACCATTGAGGTCTCGTAGTATGGAATTGGATCACTTGTACACATCAAGCGAACATGTAGTATGCAACATTGAGGTCTCGTAGTATGGAAGAATCACTTGTACACACTTGGCAAACATTACCCTGCGTGCAGAGTCTAGTTAAACGAAGCTCTCTTTTAAGAAGTGAAGTCAAACGAATGCAAAGGGTAGGTAAACATGAAGCACGCACCATTGAGGTCTCGTAGTATGGAAGAATCACTTGTACACACTTGGCAAACATGAAGCACGCACCATTGAGGTCTCGTAGTATGGAAGAATCACTTGTACACACTTGGCAAACATGAAGCTCGCACCATTGAGGTCTCGTAGTATGGAAGAATCACTTGTACACATTTGGCAAACATGAAGCACGCACCATTGAGGTCTCGTAGTATGGAAGAATCACTTGTACACACTTGGCAAACATTACCCTGCGTGCAGAGTCTAGTTAAACGAAGCTCTCTTTAAAGAAGTGAAGTCAAACGAATGCAAAGGGTAGGTAAACATGAAGCACGCACCATTGAGGTCTCGTAGTATGGAAGAATCACTTGTACACACTTGGCAAACATGTAGCTCGCACCATTCAAGTCTCGTAGCATGGAAGGATCATTTATTATACACACCAGGCACATTAACTTATATTTTGAAGAAGTGTTTGTGCAAACCAGTCCCACATTTAGCACGCATATTCAGGTCTTTCGTGAAAACTCCAACGTTCTTCTACGACTGCAACAAAAGTACGACCCATTTTCAAAACAAGAAATGGCGCTGGTGTTACATCCTATAGAGTAGATTGGTTTTAAGAGGTTGAATTACATTTGTTACGAGTGACAAACTAAATACAAACACACTGGAAAAGTTTAGGCCTGGCTTTGAGCCTCATTAGCAATGTTTCTTTCATCTTCATCTTTTGGATCTCCTTTGCATATAATTCCATTAAGCCTCCGTTATTTCAGTACCTCAACCTCAGCCTCAACTTATCAATATTAGTAATAGGGTAGTTGTATTGGACACCTTGTCCCATCTGAAAAAATATGTGTATTAGGATTAATTGTCCTATAAGAACAGGCTTATTGTTCATTCACGAAACGAACTTTTCACATACCATCACATACCAAACAATAATTCATTGGATTTTAGTGCCAGATATCATGGATATTGTCCATAAAAGGAATTTTTTTTTAACTCATGATGTAGTTTATACCATAATACCATTTCTATTCATTGCATAAAAATGTGGATTTCATTAAACTGGATTTAACTGTGAGACAATGAACTCTATTTCAATAGCAATAGAATTTGATATTTAGTTATTGTCAAGGTGTATACGTAGGTGTATACGTAGCTATTGTTGTATTTCATGCAACACGATGAAATTTTCATCACAAAGATCTTTTTGTTAGAGTAACATTTGAATAACACTGAAACGTGCAAAATATAACAAGTTAACCATAATCAATAGAAAAAACATTAATTGTAAATGTTCTTCAAAAACATTTTTCAGTTTTTAATCAACGTTGTAATTTTTATTTTAAACTGACCCATTCTATTAGTTAGCCTTTTTGGGATTGGACAAGCCATTGGCTTGTAATTATAAGCCAAAGAACCTAATAAGGTTTGCATCCTTCAAAATCTGCTTGAAACTATACCATTGGATTGCTATGGGAAACTCATCAAAAAAGTTCTATGGGTTAAAGAGTACCATTTACGCAATTATACATGAAACCTATTTAAAACAGCATTAATATTATTCAAAAGCAATCGTAATAATGATTCCCAGCCCTCTGAAGTTTGAAAATTAACAATATCTGGGTGTTAATTCAGAGATATTCCTCGAAAATGAGAAATATATTTTGGGATTATATTGTGCAATCGTATAGTCAATTAAATGTTTTAAAGTATATTGATGTTTTAAGATGAAAAACACAAGCGAAATGCATGAAAAAACTACCCCGATTCATTGTACAAACAACTCGCGGTCCTTGGGGAAGAAAAAGCCACAAAGTAATAAAAGGCCTTTACGAAAGAGTCAAAAGTTTTAAAATATACAACATAATTATATTACTGCCTATCATAATATACGCTTGACGGAGTCTATCTTTGTTATCTCCGCTGCCCTACGTCCTCATTTGGAGACAAACTTAAAATCAACAGACAGAAGGACAAAGCACATTGGTCCACGTACGTCGGTGGGAGTTAGTTACATAGGCGTTTCTGCAATTTTAATACTAATCCGCAGTAACAATGATAATTCATTCTATTGTCTCTAACAATATAAAACGAGGTGCTCATCTGATAACTGCTTATCTTTACAACGGGAAACAAGTAAGTAAGTCGATAATAATTTTATGCTAATAATTAGGAATTTGTTTTTAAATTTTTGAAATAAAATAACTGGTGTGAATAATACATTTGATGTAATATATTTGCTTTGCAAACTTCACTGTGTTTAGATGTATTCTTTTGCATAAAATTGAAATAAGTATATTGAAATAAAAGCATCGTGCGCATCAAATATCATCAAAATAATGTTGATATTAGAACAACTTGGAAGAATTTGGAAGAATAAAAATTGGCGTACTTTTTATTTTTTCAAAAAATCGGGATGATATTTTAAAAAGAAAATTATAAGAAAATCACGCTTTCTTGAAAGAACCATGGTTTCAAAAACTAAGTTGACAATTTTAAAAAATCGGGGGGGGAAAGTAGGGGTTTCAACGAAAAATTCATCGAAATCATCGGATATCTTTAAAGATGATTGGGAGGAATATCGGGGCATGAACATGATTGTTAAGAAAGTTGAGCATATCTAGAAAAGGTCGACATGATAAAAATGATGAAAATAATTTGTGCACCTTAAATTACATCTGATGCCATCAAAATATTTTTAAAATGAGATGAAATCTAATGGTTGCATGAAAAATTTAATTATATTATTCAATTTATGTAGCTTTTACTTTATCTATCCAATTGAATTTGAAAAATAATGTGTTTACAATGCAAAGTGCTGTATTCGATGACCAATAAATAACTATTTTCAAAAGTCATATTTTTCAAAAAAATCCTCTCGCCTCTCCATTCAGTTGTGTATTGAGACCAAACCACAACTTTTGCAAAAAAATTAATTAAATTCAAAATGTTCCAAGTAGATTTTGAGATAACGGGAAGGTAGATCTTTAATACACACCTTATTGGGTTATTTTTTTATTAAAGATTTACCTTCCTGTTATCTTAAAAACATGCTTGGAACCACACCATTGGATTTACATGGGAAATTCCTTCAAGAGAATATTCTAGGGATTAAAGATTGTGTTCAATTTACACAATTTGAGAAATTATTGGCAACCATGAAACTTATATAAAAACTTCATTTTTATTTTTATTATAGTCAATGAAATGTGTAAATAAAGTGTATTGATGTTTTTTAGATGAAACATATAAGCGAAATGCATGAAAAACTTCCCCAAATCATATACAAACAACCGCCCCCCCCCCCCTCCTTTGCAAGATTGACCGAGTGGATCAACTTTAATTCGGTCCTGTTTTTAGGACACCCTGTACATGGATGGTTGTTAACGCCCGCTTAAACAGTTTTATGGTTGGCTTACCCGCCCAAAGAATGCACGTGTGTGTAGGCGTTAATTACGCTCGTGCAGATTTAAAATTACGCCCGTGCAGACGTAAATTATGCCTGTGTAGGCGTAAATTACGCCCGTGAAGAAGTAAATTCTACGGGCGTTCAAACAACATTTACGGGCGTAAACTTACGGCGTTAAATTAATTAATTACGGGCGTTAAGCTGGTTATTCTACACGCGTTGAGAAACATCTTCACGCCCGTCGAGTTTATTTTTAGCGCCGTAAATTATGAACCAATCAGCACCTTACTTTACATAATGATTCAATGCATCCTTGCTAAAAGAGCAACTCCAAGATCCTTGCGTAAGTAAATAACAATCAGAAGCCCGATAACATTTTAGTGTATTGCATCGAGGTCCTTAAATATTCGTTCAAGATTGTTAGACTTAACCAAAAAAGTATTCAATTTTTATAGCAAATTAAAAGGCAAATTGAAGATACATGTACTATGTCGGCAGTTATCAACACCCATTGTAGAAACGACAAAATTGCAGTATATTTTGAGAAGGTATACATGTTTGGTTTCTTAATACGATGATTTTTGGATAATTCTCCAATCTAGGTGTCGGCTTCAGGGGTAGGTACTTAAGCTCACACGCATTGCAGCTTACAAAGCACTATACAGTCAGATCGCTAATGTATCCCTCTAATCGCTAATGTATCCCTGCGAGTAAGTAACATGCTGTCTGATCCATTCGATGTACTCCAGGGGGTCCATCAAGGTGGGGTCTATTCCATGCTGATGTACCAATTGTTCAATGCTGACTTACTAACTGATTTACAAGCCCTGGGCATAGGTGCATCGTTGGGGGAAATGGATGTCACCTGTCCTGCATATGCCGACGATACCTCTTTTCTTACTACTAGTACGACATCTATGAATACATTACTTAATTTAGCTTATAATCACAGTATGAAATGGAGATATGAGATTCATCCTGGCAAATGCAATATAATGATTTATGGTGTTAGACATCATGCAGTGGAACCAGTGTTTAAAATTGGTAATAGAAATGTTAATGTTGTTCGGAAACAAATACATGTAGGTATACCATTATCAGTTAACGGTGACATTACTGATTTTATTGAGAATGACAATGCTATAAGCTCAGGTAAACGGAAATAATATTCACTCCTCGGGTTGGGTGGTAACTGTGGGGGACTTTGTCCTTTAACAGCATCACGACTGTATTGGGCAATTTCTGTTCCTACGATGCTATATGGAAGCCCTTTAATAACATACTCAGGCAGGGACATAGAAAAACTTGAATTAGCACATAGAACAATTGGTAAGCGTATTCAATGCCTACCAAAATTCTCAGACAACATATTTGCCACCGAGCCTCTGGGTTGGTTGAATTTAGAATTCAGAATTGTAATAGATAAACTGATGTTTTTCTTAATGCTAATGAAATTGCCAATCAAAAATAGTACAAACAAATCTTCATATTTCGAGCCACCGAATTAGAGCATAATAGTAACATCGGAGTTGTATCTCCTAGTCATACGATTTGGAATACTCTGATAAGGTTCAATTTGTTGGACACGGCAAAAACATGTTAAACACTGGTATTTATCCCTCAAAATCAGAGTGGCACAAATTAGTATTAGGACGGGTAAGATACACTCAGAAACTTAACTTAATGATTAACTGTACTTTGAAACATTCTACCCATTTGTATATTCGAATATGATGTTCATTTAAACCACTAATCTGGCGGGTACTGTGATATCCTGATAAATGCATGTATTTTAAACTTATGGTTAAGCTCTTAACAAACCAAACATTGAATGGAAACAATAAATGGGGCAATAAAAAATGCCTTATATGTAATTCCGGCGAGATTGAGACATTAGAACATTTTACTATATTTTGTAGCTCTCTAGATGCTGAAAGGGTAGCTCTACTAGCCCTTTTTAAAATGGGAGAAGATAATGTACTCCAGATTTTTAAAGAGGATGATGATTTTAATATGATTTTAAAGCCAAGGCAATTTATTTTATGTATAAAAAACGCAACCTGTTGATGTAAATATGTTTGAAAAAAAATATATTGAACATTGTAATGTACTCACATAAAATAATGTGGTAATAAAGGATACAATACAATCTAAAGGATGTGTTCAGATACTAATAGTATCTGATCAACTGCATATCAACTCTAGACTATAGCTTTATCCTATAGATCTGGCATTTTTTGAAAATGTAAGTAGTTGAAAATGTCAGATGAGCCTATATGTCTAGTATACCTAGCCAACATATGTTCTTTGGTATTAGGGAGATGTGTACTTTTTGGAATCTATATGCAGTCCTCTTTAGACAGACATGCCAACCTCCCGTTTTTTTACGGGAATCTTCCGTAAATTTTTTGTTTTTCCGTAAAAAATGCCAAACTCCCGTACCGTTTTCTCCCGTAAAAACTCCCGTAAACTCCCGTACCGTATTTCTACTAAAATCTCCCGTAATTTTTTTTAAAAATATGGCCGTAAAATCTCCCGTATTTTTGCTGAAATCTCTCGTAAAATCTCCCGTATTCTGGTATAACTCCCGTAAAATCTCCCGTTTTCTGGTATAAGTCCCGTAAAATCTCCCGTATTCTTGGTATAACTCCCGTAAAATTTCCGTTTTTTGCTGTTGAAATCTACCGTATTTAAAAGGAATTTGACAAATTTGTGACCTTGATTATTGCAGGCACGCTTCTTTCTTTTACTCCAAGAAGGATTGACTCCAATGGTTCACTATCGATACTTTCATAAATAACTTAAAAGTACTTCATTCCCATGATTCAAATTGCTTTTCTGCGATCAGTTCGGTATAAGTTTGCACACCAAATGTCCACAAACGGAGGCCAGTTCATATTCTGTCACGTCATACTTCTGTCGGGAGAATACATTTTGTTTTTATATGTCGCTAAACAAAATATTCCCGCAATATAAAGCGCATTATGGGTAGGGACTGCTGTGAAATAATGAACGTAAATGACATCTATCTTAGATTATAAGTTCTAATTAATTTATTAATTGCGCATGCGTCATAATAATTTCAACCAATTAAATCGCTGGATTTAATACCGTAAAAACTCCCGTTTTTTCAAAATCTACCGTAAAAGCTCCCGTTTTTTCAGAAATCGACCGTAAAAATTCACGTTTTTTCAAAATCTACCGTAAAAACGCCCCTTTTTCAGAAACCTACCGTAAGAACTCCTGTTTTTCCGAAATCTACCGTAAAAACTCCCATTCTTTCAAAATCTACCGTAAAAACTCCCGTTTTTTCAAAATCTAAAGTAAAAACTCCAGTTTTTTAAGAAATCTACCGTAAAAACTCCAGTTTTTTCAAAATCTAGCGTAAAAACTCCCGTTTTGCAGAAATATACCGTAAAAACTCCCGTTTTTTTCCGAAATCTACCGTAAAAATTCCCGTTTTTTCAGAAATCTACCGTAAAAACTCCAGTTTTTTCAGAATCTACCGTAAAAACTCCAGTTTTTTCAAAACCTACCGTAAAAACTCCCGTTTTTTCAGAACCTACCGCAAAAACTCCCGTTTTTTCTGAAATCTTCCGTAAAAAAAGTCGTTTTTAAAAAAATTACCGCGAAAAATACCTTTTTTTAAAAATCTCCCGTAAAAACTCCCGTTTTTTCAAAATCTCCCGTAAAAACTCCCGTTTTTTTAAATCTCCCGTAAAAACTACAGTTTTTTTAAATCTCCCGTAAAAACTCCCGCTTTTTTCAAAAACTACCGGATTTTGAAAAAAACAAAAACTACCGGATTTTGAAAAAAACTCCCGTAAAAGTACCGCAATTTTTTTAAAATCTCCCGAAGATTTTTCATTTTAGGTTGGCAAGTCTGTTAGAGTCACATGTACATCTTTCACATTTGTACAAATAGTGCACCAAGAAACCCAGAAAAGAAATAATGTTTCATATGCCATAAATTGCAATAGTTGTTCCTGGCACAATCGTGAGTATGTTATTAACTTGCACAATGATCTTGGAGTTGCACTTTTAGCTAGAATGCTTTGTTTCATTATGTAAGCAAGATGCTGATTGGTTCATAATTCACGGCGCTAAATGAACTCGACGGGCGTATGGATGCTTTTCATGTCTTAACGCCCGCTATTGAACATTTTAACGCCGTTAGTTTACGCCTGTGTTTGTTTTAACGCGTATAGAATTCACTTCTTAACGGGCGTAATTAATGCCTACACGGGCGTAATTAACGCCTACACGGGCGTAATTAACGCCTACACGTCTGCACGGGCGTTATTTCACGTCTGCACGGGCGTAATTAACGCCTACACACCCGTAAATAACCCGTGCATACATAGGGTAGGTTGGCAAACCATATTTATTGACTTTGTGCGTTGAATCCCCACTAATGCTTGAATGATATCACGTTTTCATCATTTTATTGTTCGTTTTCAAATGCATTGTATAATATAAGTATATATAAAATTTCATAAAACAAAATACAGGTATATAATGTTTTTCAATTGTTCAAATTCAATGTGAACTCTATTGTAAATGTCAATAAGCACATTACGAAACAACATTAAAACATTGTCAAAAGAATTAATAGTCTGTAGTATAATACTTTATTACTTTATTTTTCTGGTTGAAATTTCAATAAAATGTATTGATAACATGTTTTCGACAGCTAAGCCTGGATGTGAAATTCAAATAAAATTACACGCGGTGCCTGATGAAGTTGCTTTGCCTGTATATCTCACACATATATAAATAGTTCTTATCTAAATGCTAATTTATATTACTGCTGATTTTTAATTTATTACAGTTAAGTCACATTACTTTCACGACCCCCTCAATATTTATCCAACCAGATCATCGTTCCATGAGAATCCTAACTGTGTCACGTATTGTACTTTATCCCATACTTGGACGTGTTACAGGTACATAAAACCGGTTTGTAAAAACTTATATTTTCATCAGCGGGCAGATATAGCTTTACGTCCCGCTCCGAGCGGGCAGATATAGTATATCTGCCCGCTACGTCATAATCGCTGTTCCCGTATTGATTCTTTTTTGTAACGTTCTCAATGGAGAAAAACGCAGACAATCGCGATCTGTTTGATGCTTTTAAGAAGGGAAGGAGCAGTATGCCCCATTAATAATCAAAGATTTGAACAGGAAAATCCGGCTACAGACAATAATACAAAACAGGACATGAATATTTTTAAATAATTCCACGGTTGGTTGCAAAGTTTCTGAACTGTGGCCAATTGAACAATGTGATTGGTATGGGATAAACAGATCATCCTATAGTCGGTTCAGGATATTTGGATTATCCCTTGGCCAATATAATACATCTACCCTCGGGACCTACGGCCCTCGGGCAGATATATTATATTGGCCTCGGGATAATCCCAATATCCTGAACCTCATATAGGATAATCTCTATATATATCATATATCATGTCGAGGCACATATATTGGTACCAGACGCTGTGTTTGCAGGCCACTCTGGCTGAGTTTCTAAATAGAAATTTCGCAGCTTCTCATTTTTCGTGAGATTTTCCACTATATCTTTGATTTATACAGTTATGGCATTTAAATCATTTTCCATGACGTTTTATGTACATTGACAGGGTCATCATGCCGTTTGGGTTTCGGACAGTATTAAACAAAACGTTTTCAGTTATCGTGAAATTAAGTGACTTTTGCAAGTCCGGTTACTTTTGGAACACCCTGTATAACATGGAAGTCTATGGCAGTCTGAACTAACAAAAATAAAAATTATACAAGGGTGACATCTTTTGGCTTTATTCAGCCATAGAAACTCCCCAATAGGATAAACAGTTTGTTTAAAACCAACAATAATTTAATTCGTAAAACCAAAAAACGGTGACGACTGCACCGATTTCATTCGATGTACCATAAAGCGTGTCTCCCTTTGTAATAGTATGTCATTCATTCAAATGTTGATCATGGTTGGCCGTATAAGCATTCCTTTTGCACAGTCAGTGGACCAACATCTGCTCGGGATCAAGTTTTAAACATCGCTTTAATAGTCAGTGCACGGGTACACGGGGCTATTGGAAGAAGGTGTAGCATAAACAGTTGTGGTCATTCTCATACTCATGAAAGATTACAGCGCTTACCCCTCCACGTGGCCACCATTTCTTTGCACACAGAGATGGGCTCCGGGATGGGCTCATCTCCCCATGTCAGGTAGGGCTCTTTGAGTCCCCTGTGGGTTCAGACTGGTCTAGTGGAGGGATGGTGAACACTCCTGAGATGGCCCAAAGGAAAAAGGCACAACAAGTCAGGTGATCTTCCAATAGCACTTGGCCTCTTTCACTGACTTTTGCGATGTCTAAAATTTGGTCCCGACTCCCTATCCTACTTTGATTCACTATGCAAGAAGAATGATTATTCAACCAACCATGACCGCATGTTTGGAGGGTGGTTGGTTATGTGAATGTGTGAGCCCATTCAAAAATCATAACAGAATAGTATATTATAACATTACAGTATGTTGATTTTAAGGCTATCATTGTCTGTCATCGAGAGGTTGATCGTCATGAATCTTAAAATGATGCTCGCTACTGTACTTTTGATGGCTGTGTGTTTAGGGGGTTCTGGAGCCGGTGACATCGGGAGAGAAAAGCGTCACGAATTTGAATACGTCAAAGTAAGTGATAATTGCCAGTAATGAAACAATGAAGATTTGTTCGCAATAATCAAACGACTTATTCCAATGAAAATAATGTACCAATTTTCCAATTCGCCATTACCAATTACAGTTTCTGAACGTGTATCTTGAAGTAATAAGCTTTTCAGGCACGTTGAAAATCACTCTAAAATTGATATATCTGTTTCTCTAGGTATCACCGTAACTTGTCATGACTTGTACTGTACATTTTAGGGTTTCTGGTCGAACTGCAGGATTATCAAGGGACCGCCCCAGTGGGTCCAGGGAAAGACACTGCAATATTTAGATCGACACTACGTGGCCTGTGGGTCTGACGAATTTTTGGTTTCTTGGAAAATGCAGCGATTGAACCCTAATGTATACGACTACCAGTCCATGGTCTATAAGTGCTGCAAGATCGTTTGCAAAGTACCCATGTACCACCATCACTAGGTATCGATTGGATAAGACCGAAAGACTCGAACTCTTGCGATTTCTCCCGGATTTACTGTTATTTCCAGTTGAAATAAAATATATTTCGAATCTGCAGACAAAATTCGTTTGACATTTATAAACCTCTGATTTCATCTCGACCAAGTAGATTCTGTAGTCCAAAGTGTACATTTCGTCATGGAAACTGAACAGAATATGTTTTATGTATATGTTAAATGAATTGATGTCTTCAATCTCAATGTCTATGGTTAAGTGGTCAAGCGAACCCCCTCCCCCCCCCCGCCCCGTGATAACACCAGACTAGTTCTCAACCGTTAGTTTGAGTCATACAAAAGACAGGCCTCCTAGACTATCATCAACGCGAACATTAGTTCTTACCTCGCGAACTACGTCCCTTGTACTCGAATTACGATTCTCACATCACGAACGTGAAATCTTTAGTCGCGCACCACCATTTCCTCGCTCCCGAACATATTTCTCCCCCGGGATTTCTTCACTCGCGCACAGAGATCCGTGCTCGCGGTTCACAGGGTAGTCCAAAAAGATGTTACTGATTTTAAAGTGTATTAACTCACTCATTATTGGCATGATTAGCCTCGAACTTTCTGAGATGACTAAGCTTTGATGTAAGTTTTGTTCCACTAAAGTGATTTTCATGTGCGTCTCTGCGTGTTTTGATGGCTGCCAATCAAATCACTAAGCCCATTTTGGTGTTCCGTCCATGGCCAAGTCCACACTGGCCAAGTATTGCTTAAACACGCATATTGAAGTTAACAATAACTTGAACTGAATCATGCCCCAGTGTTATTTGAATGATTTCGTGTGTAATGTTAGCTTTAAGCTCATCAGTTGTGTTGGGATAGTTCTGGTAATCCCTATCCTTCGGGTACCCTAGGATAATCCTAGGGTACTCTGAAAGAAAGTAAAGAAAGTGTTGTTTATCATCCTTCTTCAAGGGACTTCATTTATGCTTAAATTATATAAAATACTATGTAGCCTTGCTGCAGGGATGGTTGTTAAGTTATAGCTTTAGCAGATATATCTACTGTATGCTGGCGTTACTTGCAATTGTAAACAGGGATTCACTCGCCCCGGGCACTCACTGCACTCAACTGACAACATTTCATACCCCCGGGTTTGTACCCGATCTTGAAGCCGCGTCTTAATTACCCAAATGCGAGTAGGTAGTTACCAGTTTCACCACCAGGTGGCTGATTCGGGTCAATTAACATGGCAGGTATATAAGAAAGCTCCCTTAAACTTGAATATTATCAATTTAAGTGGCTCAATTTTCATATAATCCTTATGTGTTTGATACTTATACTAATGAAAATATGTCCAGTAAAGCAAAATATTATCTGTCCACTAAAAGAAAAGATATTTCATTTTTTGTGATTTTATAGCATGGGGTCTATAGGGAATCTCCCCGAGCTAGAAGTCACATTTTCAAAGAAAATTAATTTTTCAAAGTTGATAAACACTTTTTAAAACCACATTTCTAGATGTAATTTTACATGTAGATTTCAAATATGATATTACTTTGACTGAATTTTGAATTTTTAATGACGTAAATCAAGATTATTTCTACTCGCATCTGGGTTATTGCTACGGTTACCAGACCGGTAGGTGATTGGCAAGGTTGGTCTTTTCACTGGCGGATCCACAAGATAACAAGGGGGGGGGGCAAATTTGAAATCAGAAAAAAGCACCGCCAAAAAGGCCAACACTTTGAGGCCCTGCAAAATGTTTGGGCCCAAATTGAAGGGTGGGGGCGTATCATAAATGTGAGGTTGTTTTTTCAAATCACCCCCACACTACTTTTGAATTGAAATATTGGGGTTGAAAACACAGATCCAGCCCCTATTGGTAGTAGGCTCAAGGGATAATATATTTATTGAGCCTAGACACAGAGGAGGTAATCTGGCAGAGGTCCGTGGTTGAAAATAAGTTTGATTTGTGCACGGACGTCAAGTAAGTTTCTGGCGAAAGCCGGAGCATAGATTATTTAGAGGACTGGAAACAAGAATGACCTACCTTTTTATTTCCCGAATCTCGCCTGAAATTAGCTCATCTTGGTGACTGTAACCTGTATATCTGTATTATAGAGTCTTTTTGTATCGCATCTGCCTCAATTTTAAAGTTTAGTTGGTATTTTTAATATGATTTCACTGTTTTTGTGGACTGGTACGATTAAGCCAAGCAAGTGGCAGCTGATCTGTTCAAAGTACTTTTAGTACTAAAAATGACAATAATTTTGGAAACAAAATTATACTAAGAATAGATTACTAAGCATCTAAGGTAAGTAAAACTAGATGAACAACTGAGTCAATAGTGATAAATAGCCTTCATGATGAACTGGCAGAATTGAAATAGACTGCCATCTTGTTTCCAGTCCTCTTAAATAATCTATGCTCTTCGCCAGAAACGTACTTGACGTCCTTGGATTTGTGGTAAATCAGCAGACCTCAGCAGGTTCAGCTCAACCCGTTTTGTCAACTGGACCTACTGACATAACGTTTTACCTCAAACTCGTCTGGCCCAGTTATCTACTCCTGACATCGTAGATCTGGTTGGTTACCTCCCCCCTCTGGATCCGCCAAGTTGTTTTGTCCCTTTGAGTATCTGGACAAGATCGTTCATTCTTGATGAATATCGAAACGGCTCTCAAGTGAAGAACCAGAACCACAGATGTAGGCCCGCACTGGCGGATCTGGGGGCCGCCCCCCCCCCCCTTGGGTGGGCCCAGAAAAAAAGGCCCTAAGGCCCCAAAAAGTAGGCCCTTTTGGTCAAAAATTGGCCTTCTAAGGCCTTGTTTTTTTATTTTAGGCTAAATTTTGAAGAAAATGGGCTTCAACTAGGCTATTTCAAAATTTGGGCCCACTTTTGGGTTTTTGGGGCCCAAAATTTTTTTCCGCGCAAGCCCGGAAGTTTTTTTCTCAGACAAGAAGTTTGGGCCCCCCCCCCCCTTGTTGGTTCCCAGATCCGCCCCTGGCCCGGGCATATAGGATTCGCGACTGGTACAACTCATTCGTTGTGTTTTAGTGTTGAAACCTACCACCAGAGTACCTGCTGCTGCATTCTGGGATAGCAGTTCGAAAAGAAGTGAATTATTGAAAAAATATCATCGTCTTTCGGTCTTTTCTCACCCGTTGGAGTGTATATATCCAAAGTAAGTGTGTTTCTTCAATGTCTATATATCGGTGCTAATTTAGAATATAATTTCTGTGGGTTTAAAACTCTCCGTTTTGTCCCGCGTGTGTTTTCAAAACGACAAATTATTTTTTCTTCAGTCCGAAATATTTTCGAGCAGAAATCATTTGGAGGTAACAACATTGAACATTTCATGATGTTTTGTGGGTGCTTATGGCAAAATATAGGTAAGTGCAGTTGTATGTCAGTAGTGAACATCAATGGAATATACGAATAATTGCATCTGAAGTATGTAATGGATGATGCCCGACATTTTCAATGTTATTTTTACAGTTGTGGTGGTGGTAGTCTAGACTCTATGCTAGGCAAGAGGGGGAAAACTCGAAGGTTCAGAGAGACCCTATCTGTTGCAAGACTTATGCCTTGAACAACTGTCACCATGTTATTAAGTGTTTTTAAGTTACAAAAGGATACTGCCATGACCGTGGTAGTGTTATCGTAAAAGCCTGGCGTGACCGCAGCCTTTTTATTTTTATTTTTCACCCCTTGCTATTATTAGAGTTTTTTTATTGATAAACCTTGGTACTTGTCATAGAAAGTATGTGTTATCGAATCAAACGTTCTTGAATGACATTAGAATTATAGTTTGTGGAAATGAATTATGAGTTAAAAATAAATCTAAAATTTTGTGTATTAACGTATGTGACTGTGAGTACCTTGTACATGTATGGTAGTCTAAATTAACATATATAAGGTAGTTTAAACGATGACATTTTTCATGACAGTATTCTCATGCTTCTGAATGTCATGACAGGCCTTGCAACCATTGTCACGGTCATATCAGGCTTGAACATTACGACGGTTATGACACGCCTTGCAACCATTGTCACGGTCATATCAGGCTTTGACATTTCAAAATTTCCTAAAAATGCTATGTATGTATCTTTTATTCCCAATTTCAAATCGGACGAAGGTGGTAAGCAAGAGATGTAATTATGTCTGTCATCTGTCTCATCTCAAGCTGGATGGAAGTTTCTCCTCCTTTTCAGCTGCGCTCACTATTTTGTTTCATGATTTAGAATATAGATTAGCAAATAGGCAAACACACGACCAAAAGAAGGTTTACATACACATTGCTCAAACACAGAGTTGAATGTGATGTCAAAGAAATGCTTTGGGTTCCAATATACATACAGGAACCTGGGCGTAGCCAGTTCTTTCTCTCTTATGGCTAATTCAGAGAATGAGGAATATATTACTCAGTGAATGAAATGTATGTGTTAATACTGAAAATTACTCTTGGGTTTTGCTCTTTGAATTTCCCTTCATATTAAATTCTGAATATGATAACTTATTCCACTCATAGTGTCATCAGTGGTTTGCATTATCTTTTTCAGAAATTTGTCCTCATGGGAATTAGGAAGCCTTACCTCACTTTCTCTAACCTGAATGCACATGTTATATTGTAGAATGTCAGAAGAGACTCAGGTCATCCAGGTTGAAGAGCCATTGATCAGTCAACCTGTAATTACTCAGCAATACACAGGACATATCGACCCACAGTCCCTGACAGAGACTGCAGATTCTGATATTCCTACTGAGAGCCTAGACCTAGCTAGTCCTATAGAGCTTACCACTGAGACAGTTGTAGTGGTCAGTGGCAAGAAATGTATGTTACGTGTAGAGCAGGATACGGGACAGTTGATCGCTTTCCCAGTCACACCAAAATCCAAAACTCCAAATAAACCTCCAGGTTTGTTTTTCAAAAATTTGTTGTTGTAATTTATTGTAATTTTACATTAATCGAGTGTTACCAAATTCAATGCAGATGAATGTCAACTTTATAGTGAATATATCAGGAGCCTGGCTTTATTCACTGCCTCTTATTCGTGATTCCATCATGTTTTTAAGATGGTTCTTTGGCGCAAAGACTGTATAGATAGTGATTGTAACTCTTCAATTGAATGATATGTGATCCCCAGGAATCACTGAATCAAGGGTCTGCCCTAAAAACTTCAAATTAGAAAGCACTCAAAATTTTTTTTTAAATGCTCAATTACATGTCATTATTCTTAATCCTAGCCTCAACAGGTAGAAAAAGGGGTCGTCCCAGGAAAGAAGACACCCTCAAGAAACAACGAGACCAGGCACTGAGGAAAGCTGGCAAAGACACTGACTATGTTGCTGAGGAAGACAAAGACACTAGTGCTGTTGAAGGTCTTCTAGAGCTCTCTAATGTTGGTATGTAACTCCTGGAAGGCATTATTACATCGTAGAATGTAATACGATTAGTTCTTCTTATTATTATACTGCATGAAAGCCAATTGAATCTCAAAACTTGTGATATTTTCAGTAATCACATTAGAGCTTGAACGACAATGAAATTCTAAAGTTGATAATTACCCCTAATTTGTGTCATAACATGAGTAATTTGTATGTGTTCAGGCTCTTAATAACATCCTTGTATTTATAAATTCATTTATAATTTATAACAAACCTTTAATTTATAACCTTTAAGTTATTTTTTGGAAACTATACAAAATGAGAATCTTCCATAAACCTTACTGGATCTTATTATGTCAGAGACACCATAAAACGTTATAAGAAAATTTCTGCCATTCTAGAAATGTTCAAAGTACTAAATATTTTAATAAAATGAATTCTTACTCTTCTTTTGTGTTCAGGCCCTGATGGGTTGAGACGTAGCGGTAGACAGAGAAAGAAAAACACCCTGTATAAAGGTAAAGAACACCAATTCACTATTGTTATCCCATCGAACGAAGTTCGGAGGGATATAGGGAACGCGTCCGTCTGTCCGTCTGGGCTGTAACTCAAATACTGTTGGCCCGATTTTATTCATATTTTGTACACATATACCCTATTGGGGTAGAAGTTCTGCTCGAAAGCCGATTTAAAAATGGCCGCTCATTTAAAAATGGCGGCCATTTTAGTGCCGATTTTACAGTAATTTAGGTGCAATATGTAAAACTGTAATAGCAATATGTTTTAAATGTAAAAAAAATTATATAGGACATTAATAAAGCTAGAAATGTAGATATTAAAAAAGCACATGGCAGCCATCTTGAAAAATGGCGGCCTTTACTCGTTATTTTACGATTTTTGCTGTAACTCGAAAAGTAGTGGAGCGATTTTTTTCATATTGGTATGTGAATACTATAAGCATGGCACACTGTCTAATGACACTTTTGGTAGAAGGCGGCCATTTTGAAAAATGGCGGACAATTTTTAAAAATGGCCGCCATTTTAACTTATTTTACTATAACTCTAAAAGTAGTGGAGCGATTTTGTATATATTTGGTATGTGAATACGTATAAGCATGGCACACTGTCTAATGACACTTTTGGTAGAAGGCGGTCATTTTTCAAAATGGCCATCATTTTAACGTATTTTACTGTAACTCGAAAAGTAGTCGAGCGATTTTGTTCATATTTGGTATGTGAATACTGTAAGCATGGCACACTGTCTAGAGGCACTTTTAGAAGGCAGCCATTCTGAAAAATGGCGGACATTTTAACTTATTTTACTATAACTCGAAAAGTAGTGGAGCGATTTTGTTCATATTTGGTATGTGAATACGTATAAGCATGGCACACTGTCTAATGACACTTTTGGTAGAAGGCGGCCATTTTTCAAAATGGCCGCCATTTTAATGTATTTTACTATAACTCGAAAAGTAGTGGAGCGATTTTGTTCATATTTGGTATGTGAATACTATAAGCATGGCACACTGTCTAATGAGACTTTTGGTAGAAGGCGACCATTTTTCAAAATGGCCACCATTTTAACGTATTTTACTATAACTCGAAAAGTAGTAGAGCGATTTTGTTCATATTTGGTATGTGAATATTATAAGCATGGCACACTGTCTAATGACACTTTTGGTAGAAGGTGCCTGTTTTGAAAAATGTTCGATGGGATTCGCTACGCTTTGGCGTTGCCATTGTTCTGGTTATATACATGTATGTAAGATATGGAGTCATACCAATGAAGTATACTGAATTGACTGTATGTCAATTAGAAAAGGGCTTATATGAATTTAATTTTAAAAGTTGAGATTAAGTTTTCTCAAGAAAAGCTAAAAACAACAAGACTTACAATTATGGGGACCATGTCAATATTTTGTTGTTAGAGAAAATCTTTGGATGCCTTCAAATCATTACAGGTTTTAACCCCATTCCTAAACATTTGTTTCAGTTTCTGGGGTATATCTGTATTTTATAAGGTCTGTGTTAATGTAAATGAATTTAGTTATTCATGAATTGAATTCCTGAATTTATTCAGGAATTCAGTGGTTAAATCATGTAGATGACCCGACAGATCCATGTCAATGTTTACCTTAACGAGCGATAACCTAATTAATACTATGTTGATATTCAAGATATATTTACCTATAGGTCTATTTGTTTATTATTAAGTATACCCTTGTACATGTACTTGCCTTGTCCCTTACATTGCTTTTGTAGTCGAATTAAAAGTTGTCCCTACCTGGTTTTGGGCAAATGGTGATGTTGATATATCTTAACTGTACTTATATTGTCTTATATTGCTGTTGTACTATGCTGTAGATGACTATAGACAGTTCTCTGTTGGGGAGGAAGATGACGAGAATGATCTTAAAATTGAGATGGAGGAGGAAGAATCAGTCCCCGCCACAGGTAATTACTAAGGACCTTAAGAGTGTAACTTACAGGTGCTCCTGCAACTTACAGGTGTTTTTGCATGGTTGTAAGGCCCCACTGGGTACATTTTGGTCCAAAATTTGTTTGTTTTGGTTTTCAATAGTGCTATTGGCAATGATCTCTATTAACAATCTCTATACCCAAAAACTGAATCAAAGTAGAACCGAGAGATCAAAAATCGTGAATTAAACCGAATGGAAAAATTATGTTTTAGCCCCAGTAAATACACCATAGTGTCTACCATGTGCAGTTTTTGTTATTAAATATTATTGAATCAATATAGTTTATAAAGAAAAGTATTTATGACAATAAATTATGGAATCTTTCCAATAAATCCTTTTTGTAGAAACTAAACCATAGACTTTTAGGGGATATTCTTTTCAAGTTTGTTATGTCAACACCAGAAGTGGTGACATATTGTTGTGTTCAGCGTTTGTAAGAGCAGTCAGCATCTGTAACAAATGATAGGTAGTGATATTTTGCATGTTAAATGCCTTGTTTAATTTAAAGTAGCCTCTGAGAAATAATGATTTGTATTTTATTCTAGGAAAAGGCAGAGGTCGTCCAAGGTTATTCAACAAAGAGAAGTCTGTGAAAGCCCCTGGAGTTGTCCCTGCCTTTGTGATGCAGAGTAAAGATGGAACCACCAGTATGATGATACCAGTAGAGGTTTGTAGATGCTGGGATGAATGTTATTTATACAGATTTACACCCCGAGTACTTCATGTAATATATCAGGGCTTTGTTTTGGAATTAGTATAGGAAGTAGAACAAAAACCAAACATTGATTTCTGGCATTGTACAATATCTAGTGGGTATTATGAATCCAGAATTGGTGACATATTGTTTAAGTCTCCAACTTTTTTGTGGACAGTGTTTGACATTTAGAGTTCAGCATCCGTAACAATTTGCAATAACGTACAACATGGTTACACTTTTTCATGTTAATACCTTTGTTTTATTTATGATTGCAAGTAATGCTATTTGACTATGAGGTCATTTTTCATGGTTGATTGTAGGGGGTAAGGCCTGCAGAATATATTAATTGTCATGATAACCCAAATGATTATAGGGGCTGTTGTCATGGATGCCCTGATGATTATTTGGACTATTGTCACGATTACTTTAATGATTTCAGGGCCTACAAAAAATGCAGGAGTACCAAGAGCATGTTAAAAAGCAGGAGCAGGAGAAAGCAGCAGAAGCTGCTGCAGCAGAGGAACCTCAGAGATCCAGTATTATAATACAGAATGCTGATGGAACTCAGATTCAGATCAGTAAGTCTTTCATTGAAAGCCAGTCTTGTTTGATTTGATTTAAAGCTACTTGATGTAACAATGAAGTTCAAGATGCACCCAATCTGAATTCTTTGGCCAAATGTCTGGAGATCATTACTTCAAAGGTCATCGGATGTCAAGGTCACATTTATAGGTCCATCGAAAAGGTCAGTTTATGAGTTGTATTTTGGGGCTCTTTTCTCTATACCATTCTAATTCGTATACATTTTGAACCTAATATTTGAAAGGTCGGCAATATTTTGAGTCAACATTTATGATTCATTATTCTTTAATGTCCATAATATTTATTGATAAATAAACACAAACAAAACATATAATTATGCATGCTCAAGTATATATAAACTAGGCTCAAAATATAATAATATCAAAGTATAGGAAAGCATCTTTAAATATAGTGGCCACAATTTGTAAATCAGATATTTACATATTTATTACAAATTTTATTACATGTTTACTTCAGAATTCTGAATTTCATGCAAACATTTTTTTAGAAACAAGAATTAAAATACATACGTGGTGGTGCTAGAATCAATAAGCTCAGTTGTACAAAATTACACAGATTTCAAAGCATGAAACATTAACAATGTAAAATAAACTACCTATAATCATAACTTTAATCTTGAAACAACTTAACACCAATTTATCACTTCATCAATTATTGTTATTTCAAACAGGTTAAGGTTTAATCTTTCATATTTGGTCTTTCATGTTACCAATCATTTCACTTCCGTTTTCGTGTTCTCTTTCATACTCATATCAATTTTCAATTCCCTGCTCAAGTTTATCCTTACAGAATCCACATTTGTTTCTTCCATATTATTCGCAACAGAATCTTTTTTATCGTTATCACTATCTGTTGAAATTGGACCTTCTGTTTGGTTTGTTGGGTTATTGTGCTGAGAAGTGATTGCTTTTGAAGAAAGGTTAGTTGCAGTTGTACCCTGTGATTTGTTAGACTTTGCTGAGAGATTGAAATCATCCCAAACCTGTTTCTTCAAAACAAAAGCAAGGAATATATACACTCCCTGACTTGCATTTAGAATGATGAATATATACCATAAAGCTATGTTATATGGTGCAATGAATGCCAAGATCCATGTGAAGCCTAGTAGACAGAATAACTTGGCGTATATAGCAAATGGATATTCTGTGGGCCTGTTTAATCTCTTTGTCCGTTGGTTCATTGATTTCCAAAGAATGATGGCTGTTGGAATGAAGAATCCAATGTTGAGTAAGATGGTAATAGCAATAGGTAAGGTGAAGAATAGAAGTAGAGGGTACCGTTGAGATATCCAGCAGATCCCCTCACCATACATTGGTTTGAAATCAGGGTCTATGTCAGTGAAATCAAGACCTAATGATATGGCTACAATAACAGCTGGAACACCCCATGCTAAAAGTGTATACCATTTCAACATTGAACCGTATGTGTCTGTTGATTTGGCAAAACTTGAGGGAGAGAATATATAGAACATGTCTCTTGCTATGATCACTGTCCATGTGAAAACTGCCAGGTAGCTCCAGTGGATTAAAACCCCAAGTGTAACACATAGTTCTTTGATGGGAGTACAATTTGGCCCAATTAGAAAGAATAAACTTGCAAGAAACAAGGACAAAATGAATGAAAATTGTAGTTTTCCTGGAAAGTTTTGAAACAGTGGAACACAGGCTTGGAGAATGAGTCTAATGAACATACAGACTAGTGACAGTGTGGTGCATATAATACTCAATAACCCCATTGTGTCATCATACTTCCAAATTGCTGACCAATCAGGAGAGTCCCCACTCTCATTAACACAAACGTATACCATATTACCCACCAATATAAATTCATCTTCCAAAAGAAGGCGCCCAGTGTCGATGAATGTAACACTTCCATTGGACAATAACTCTACAAATTTTGGGTCAATGGGTTTCCGCGGACAGTCAGTTATGTTGTGCATGATAGGTGTCATCATTGATATACCATTGGTTGTTTGATTTGTTTCTGTTGGTTCCATGTTTGACATATTACCAGTCATTATAATTTCTCCAGTTGTGTTAATACGTCCATGATCCCAGCATGTTCTTTGTCCAAACAAACTCAAACAGACCTCAAATAGGTTCAGTTTTTCAGAAGTTGTTTTCGGAAAGGCAGAAATAGTTTGTGTTAATATGTTACCGAACACAGTTCTATGAATTTCTATAAATTGTATAGTGTTGCCAACATTCAATTTGTACTTGCAAGTTGTGTTAAATTGTATACCTGGTAATTTGACATACCCCAAATGCAGATTGAATAAAGCATGTTCTAGTTTAATTTCCTCAACTATGCTGGACTCCAGAATATCTAAGAACATTTCAGTTAAAGTTTTCTTCAATGTCTTCCATCTCTCTCTTTCAAACAAATGTGAATTTTGCACTGACCACATACCTGTCACTGCCATATCAAATGTATGATATTTCAAGACACATTCCTCATTTACGTATTGAAATCTGTCTGCACAATAAGATACACAGTCCATATTTTCTGATTTCCCAAGGTCACATCCAAATGTTTTAGTGTTTTCCTTAAAAATAAACCCTACCTTGTTACCTGCAGAAGGATTATAATCAACTAGGATTCCAAATGAAAATTTAGCTACTGAACCAGGTGTTTCAATCACGATTCCTGCAGCACCAGCCAGCATTTCACATGAAATAAATTTCAAGGGGAACCCTTCTAATAAGGCACACATTAAGCAATAAACATTTTTAAATGATTCCTCTGAAAATGGTACACTAACAGGAATTTGGAACCCATATACACATTTGTCTTTATACATTGGAAGACATCCAATCGACTCATCCATGCATGGATTTTGTTTCATATATCTACTCATACATAAATGTTCAACTGGAGGTTTATACTTTAAATCACACATTTTTTCATTTACTAACTTTAACAAAGTTTGTGGTGTGTCTAAGGAACCTTCCCATACTTCTGCACATGTAACATTAAGACCCCATGGTATGACATCAAGAATATTATTGCATTGTGCGCAGAAGTAATTTTTGTATGTTATGTTAGTTGTTTTTGAGACAACAGGGACTATTTGTAAGAAATCAGTAACCTCACCCTCGCATCTCATTCTCACAGTCTGGTTAACAGAATCAACCGGACAATGCCCAACCATCCAGAATGTATAATTCTTTGAAGACTTACTAAATGGATTCATACATTCAAGATCAGTAACAGAGTTTGTGATATTGGCCAGTATGTCTCTCTTTCTCTCACCAAGTTCATAAAGTTCTGGACAAATCTGTTGGAAGTTTTGACAACAGTCATGTGATATCAAACACAATGGATGACATGAACAATATGGTCCTTCATTAATGCCCGCTACCATCTTCATATCATTACAGCGTGATACACACGAATATGCGTGAGACATCGTACTATTTGTACATTGTAGCGTTGAGGGGTCAAATGAATCAATTTCACATAGGAACTTAAGTGCAGGATTGGTATGTCTTGGGGGTGTTGTAAATTTAGGGGATGTGGTTTGTGTGGAGGGTGTTATAAATTTAGCGGGTGTAGTATGTGTGGGGGCTATAATAAATTTAGGGGGTGTAGGTTTGGGAGGTGTCATAAATTTAGGGGGTGTGATAAATATTGGATATAAAATATCTATTTGAGGAGATGTTGTTGGTACGATAAGTGTGGGTGGTATGATATGAGTTGGAGTCGTAATTTGTCTCTTTTTTCGAGTGAATCTTTGTCGATTTTGGAGAAGGTCCAATAGATTAATTTGGTTGCCATCAAGTTTTTCTGAGGATTTGGCAAAATCTTGTTTATTAACTGCAGTTTTGGTTTGAGTTCTTACTTCCAGAGGCAAGGCACAATCCATCGGGAGATGTGTAATTGCTAGCATCAGTGATATTATGCAGTAGGATGACATTGTTCTCAGTCAAATAATTTTGCCCTGTTGTGTTTTGCTTTTATGGCTGCACCAGTTGATCCTAAAAAGATGATGATTGACATGATGATGATGTACATTTACTTTGGCTAGTGTAAATTATAATATTATATTCAGATTTTGTTCTCTGGCTAGTGTTGTTATTTGGCAACACAAATTGCATTCTTTTAGGTTAGTGTAAGTTATTAGCAAATTACAATGGATCTAATTTTGCAATGCAAATGGTATCATAGGCGTAATTAACTTACCTCTAGATTTAGAATAGTCACATTTTCCTTCATTTGTAGCAAAGTTTGAGTACTTTCAATATTCAGAATTGACTCCTTTCAATGTTTATGTTTGGTCATCTCCAAATGTTAAAGGCTGATGCCTGAAATAAAATAAACGCTGACGCTATTTTTGCAAAATGATGACCTGTCATCTCTTCCTTCAGTTAGTGTATTAAGTACAATTGATAGAAATAGAATTACTGTTAATTTAGAATATGGAACTATATTTTAATTAGATATGGTTGTTATAGTAATTCTGATCTGAAGGGTTCAGAATATTGTGCAAATTCATTCATTGAAAATACATTGTTCAAAATAACAATATATAAATGCAAAGCATTTATGAATTTTATGTTTACTCATAGTTCAAACCTATTACAGCTGGACAAATAATTTGAAGTTTATTAATTTTCATACATATACAAACCATTTACAACTTTCTATCCTGACCTTATAGATTCATGTAGAAATAAACAAAATAAACATTGATATATGTACAAATACATGTTTAATATCACACTGGTAATATATTGTATATCTTACTTGTTATTTTAAAAATAATGAACTATGTTTATTGTTTATAAGTTAAAACACATTTGAAACTTTTAATTCTTATTTTTTGTATTATTCTTTTTTTGTTCCAGATTTCTGAGATATTATTTGCATAAACTCAAATAATAGTTATAGTTGCTTTGTTTTCCACTTGGGTTCAGTAATACTGTTAATGTATGAATGGTCATTAAATTGGGATTCCAATTCTAGAATAGTATGTTTTCTGTGATCTTAATTCTTATTCATATTTTACTTGTCACTAATTAATGCTGTCATCTATATTCAGGTACAGAACAGCAACAGATGATGGAAGAACAAGGAATCAATATTGCCTTTGATAACACACAGCGACTTTTCACAAAAATGGATGCTACAAATCCATCAGAAATTTTGGAGCAGCAAGAAGGAGATGTAGTTCAGGTTGTTACGACAGAGCAGGAGACTGTGGATCATACCCAGTCACAGATACAAAGCGATATTTCACAAACTGTGGAACATGTACAAAATATAGAGACTTCTGAAACTGTTAATATTATAGTTCAAAGTGAGGCTGAATCTCATAATGAGGCTATTGTGATTCAAAGTGAGGCTGGGATTCAGAGTGAGGCTGGTGGACCTCCTAATGAGACCCAAGTTGCTACTGATGAGATTCTTCTCCAGGTCGATGATGTTGAGGATAATGTCGGAGAGAACAACAGAGCTCTTGATGAGATGGAAGTCGATGATGTCATATACACTGATAAGACTGAGGAATCATCAGGTGAGATATGCCAATGGAGACGCATCTCACATATATTTTGGAGCCTCCCTTAAACTGACGAAGTGATAATGTCAGTCATTACATTATCCAGGCCCTTAGCCAGCTTTTACCAAGGGGGGTGGTTTTACCTAAAATGTCATTCGAAAAGTGCTCAGGATGGTGAAAAACTGTATGATTTTGAAAAGAATTTCTGGCCAGGAGGGTGGGGCGACCGCTCCCTCGCTCCCTCCCCATGACTACGTGCCTGTCATCTTTTGATAAAGAAACCATTTATTCCATCAATCTGTATACACAAGCAAAGCCTTTTTACTCTGATTGAATATAGACATGGAGAAAATCATTAGTAGAAAAACAGTAGATAGGAAGTAGCATTCAGAAAAGAAATTAATTACAAAAATGTATAGGTATGTTTACGAGAAATTCCATGTGGAAAACATATACTTAAAGATGACAGAAATATTGCTCTAGTCTTAAAATATATTTTGTTGTAGTGATGGTGAAAAGAACCAGAGGAAGGCCACCCAGTAAGCGTGTTGCAGGACCAGCAGCCATTATTGCCCTTCCAGAAAACCTACTTCCTATTGTTGAGGTGCCAAAGAAACCTCCTCCTAAAATTGGTACGAATTGTCACTTAGGGGTATGGTCAGTCATTCTGTTAAAAATATTTTATTCTGTAGGTTTGTGGGGATGTGGGGAGAAACTTAGTGTGGTATTATTACAACATCAATGCCCTCTGATTTTTTTCAAAATTTTACTACTATTTTTACTATAATTATATTAAAGTGTATTTGATAATTTAGTATGAACATGTGTAGTATAGGCATTCTGTATTTCTTTATTTCACAAATACTCAATCGGAGAGCATCTGTATTTCTCCACAGGTCTCAAGGCCACTGAGAGTGACTTAAGTAAGCTAGAGTGCCCCAAATGTGGTCAACAGACATTCTACCCACAGCAGTACCAGACACATATAGCTACACATGAGGATGTTCAGACATGCAAATGCTGCCAGTTTCACACCTTTGACGAGACTGAACTCATTTCTCATTATTTGGTGAGTGCAATGTCTGACTCAAGGAGGATTGGCTCCCAGGGACGCAACTCGATGTTTTCCAACAATGAAAATGTCAGAATGTCGTTATTTTCTTACATTATAACTGACTATATATTCATAATCAACAGTCAAAAATATTCGAACCAATAATGATGGAACCCTTGGTCTGACTCTTGAGCTCATTATTTTGTGAGTAAAATTTCTGACTCTAGTTCAGCTCAATGGATGTTTGTTGTTGGCCTAGCTCATTTCTTCCTTTTTTGTTAGCTCATTTTTGGTTCTTGGTAAATTACTTTCTGATTGGTGAGTTCATTTTCAACATGATAAGCTCATTTCATGAGAGCATAAGCTCATTTCATGAGAGCATAAGCTCATTTCATGAGAGCATGAGCTCATTTCATGAGAGCATGAGCTCATTTCATGAGAGCATAAGCTCATTTCATGAGAGCATAAGCTCATGAGATTTCATGAGAGCATGAGCTCATTTCATGAAAGCATAAGCTCATTTCATGAGAGCATAAGCTCATTTCATGAGAGCATGAGCTCATTTCATGAGAGCATAAGCTCATTTCTTACCTGATCAGCTCTTTAAACTACTCTGTATTGTGTTCTTAATGATTCATATCCTTGATAACTTTTTCCATTTGCATTTGATTTCAGAATAGCCATCCAAGGAATATATGCAGCTTCTGTAACCATGTAAGTGAGCATGCCTATGTTATAAAGCGCCACAAACAACGCCACACACGAGAAGGTTGCGAATGTGAAGTATGTGGCAAAGTATACAAGGTAAGGCAATACTAGGCTATACATACATTTTGAGATAGTCAACATGCATTTTGTTTTATTTTAAAAGTAAATTTTAGGCAATTGATATATTGAATCGCGATTGGTGACATATTGTTATGGTCTCCAACTTTTTCATGGACATCGTTCAGTGATTGGTGTTTGACATTCAGTGATTGGCATTTGACATTCAGTGGTTGGTGTTTGGCATCTGTAACAAGTAGTAGGTTGTGATATTTTCTTGTTAATGCCTTGTTTATCAAATGTGAATTATAAAATCGTCATTGTACAATTAACATGTAGGACCAGTATATACTACGGATGCATATGAAGATGATCCACATGCCAGCTGAAGTGTTATATGAGTGCATATGTATATCTATTGTATAATTAACATGTAGGACCAGTATATACAAAGAAATGCATATGAAGATGATCCACATGCCAGCTGAAGTGTTATATGAGTGCATATGTATATCTATTGTATAATTAACATGTAGGACCAGTATATACTACGGATGCATATGAAGATGATCCACATGCCAGCTGAAGTGTTATATGAGTGTAGCTTCTGCCAGAAGAAATTCACAAGGAAAGCACATTTAAAACGGCACGTCTTAATACATGGCAGTGAAAAGCCATTCAAATGCCCACAATGCGATTATAGGTAAGTCCATAGTAAATGTTATATCCTGGAAATGATATTACAGTAAAGATGTTCTTTCCTTTTTTATTATTTTACCATTTCTGACTGTTGAAGCTTGATTCTTAAAAATGGGCCAGAATATCCTGTTTTTATGAGTTTCCAAATTCATAGTGGAGTGTCAGGTGATGTTTGATTTCTCAGGTGCAGTGCAAGTTTGATGAATTTCTAGGGATGTTTCAAGTCTCAAAGCATATTTAGAAAGTGGATTCTAGAACATTTGTGGCAAAAAAGATGAAGAGAATACTCTTAATTACCTTTTTAGTTCCTTGACGCTGGAGAACCAATGGGAATTCTTAATTTCTGTATGTTTTGGATATTTTACATGCAGATGTATCTTATTTTGTAGAGGTTGTGAGAAGTCTGACATTACAAAACATGTTCTCATCCATGAGGAGCCCAGGTACATGTGTGGGGTCTGTGGAAAGGCATTTAGACATTTCAAAAACAAGGAGCTACATCTGAAAAGGTAAACCTTACTAAATGTAAATCAATGATGTCGCTTTTATTATACATCATACATGTCAATAGAAACCACAACATCATTTAAAAACTGTTTGAGAATTCTATTTTAATAGCAGGTATTCGCATATTCTTTATTGTGTAAGTGTGACATCAACTGTCTTCACTGCCTGTGGATTGATTTTATATGCATCATGTATATTGTATACTTTTACAAGGGGAGAGCAATGATGAAGACTTTTGAAACAACCCAACATGTAATAAGTCAGACATCACACTTCAGGATATATTTTCCCAAAACAGTCTATTGACAAAAAAAATACTGAATTCATTGTTGTAACCATAGGAATCAAAAGAACAATTTAGACTTATGAATTCATAAATGGGAATGTTTTAAGAATTGTACCCCAAATTATTCATTCTACGATGCCTACCTTAATCATTCTTTTCTTCAGGCATAAGGGTCAGAGGGACTACAAGTGTGGAGTGTGCGACTTCTATGGCTACACCTTCACTGATATCAGGAAGCATATTGAACGAAAGCACTCAGAGAATATTCCCAAAGTTAATCTACCATTGGAAGAGAATCGGGGAATCTATTGCGAGAAATGTGGTATTGAGTTTGCAAACGAGATGATGTTGAAGGTACATTTATTGAACTTATTTTAACATGATAAATTAAAATGATAAATTCAAGGTTATGTGAATTTTCCATGTGACCCAAAATGAAAGCTTGTCATTTTTCACAATGTTAAAGTAATGGTAATTGGTAGTGGTACCTGACTTAATATGAGTGGAAATCATGTTAATAGTAATGACATTCCTTTACTTACTCTTTTGTAACATAATAGTAATATGTATCCCAGTTCAGATATCTCTAGTATTAGATAAATGCTCAATCAAACAATGGTTTATGGCTGAAAAGCATTTGGGGTCACCATTGTAGATGGATGTCCAAAATGAAGTGTTTAAGCTCATGTTCCTTTTATTTATATTTTTCAACAGGACCATACACAGAGAGGCCAGTGTGATATCTCCCTCACCATTGAGCAAGCTCTCGCGTCAAATACCCATGATGCATCTGGAAGTTTCTTGATTCCCAATTCAAATATCACGGTGGAGCAGGTTCCGTCAACTGGTAAGTACTGCTTGTTTTTTCATCCCTTGCACTCAATATATTCACCTAGAGATATAAGGTTGTAATAGGTTGAATAACTGCTTATTTAGTACACATGGTGCAATCTGTAACCATTATTTCAGTGATATTTCAATCATGTTAGGTGAAAGTGTAACTCCCCATTTTCACCTTATCTCTTTGTTAGAAAGCCCATAACAGATAATAAATGTTGATCTGTTTTTTGATCTTTTTTTCTCTTGTAACAATATATCCATGCAATTAAGAATGGATGCTTCCCTCTATTCTATATTTGAAATACTAGATAATTGTTTACATGCACATATTATTGGTCATGAGATCACAAGAAGGTGCTGCCACCTATGTTCTGTGTGATGAACTTCATTACCTTGCTATATTGGTTCATATCACATTTTCAGGATGAACCATTTTTAAACCCTTGTATTCATACAGAGCTTTAATATTATATAATTAAGACACTAAATTCTTTCATGGAAAGTTATATTTTAAAAATCTGTTATGTCAGGCTCGGACTACCATTTACTGATATACAAAAACTGTAATGAAGTGTTATTAATGTCAGCTATATGCGTGAGCTGGTTTTGTTATGTCACCACCATCTCCAACTTTTTTGTGGTGGCAGTCGATGGTTGATGTTTGGTGGTTGGTATTCGGTGTCTGTAACAAATGTAGCAATTGGTAGGTGGTGACATATTTCATGTTAATGCCTTATATGAGATTGTAACATTGTCTGTCACATTTGTAAGTTTAATGATGATCCATAAATGGTCTCCAATGAATTGAAGCAACTAGACACTATACTTTAATACATTCACCCCATCACAGTTGAGAATTAGAAATCATTCATGAAATCAATGTATTCAACAGTTTTGGACATTCCTTAGTCTGAAATTGGTGAAGATGTCATGAAAAATGAGACAAAAATGCTATGAATATTCTCTTCAATAGTTTATTTATTTCGTTTTTTTATTTGTAAGTTGTTTTGAAAACAAATGAATGTATGATTTGAATGGCATGTAAATTCACCATTCGGTAACATACAATTTTTACAATTACAACCCATACTCTGCTTTGTCTGTGTATGGCAGAGTCGCTTCTGGCTTTACATTTTTATCATTTCTATGGTTCATAGGGGTTATTTATTGTGTATATTAACATTTTCAGTCACGAAATTCAAATTACCTGTATACAGTAAGTCAATTTACCATTGTATGTATTACAGGCTTCATATTCTACATCAAATCTGCCAATTTATACTATGGCTAGATTAAAAGATTATTAAAAACCATGTAAATTCTCGTTGAACAGATTTTCACAAAAATCAACAGGTTGAATTTGGATGTTAGGAAAGAAAAGGAGTAAGGCTTGCCATTATTTCACCTAATTAATGAATAATAATGAGTTCTTCGATAAAACTATCTTTTAATTATACCTTAAAAAAGCTGTTAATTTTGACTTTAAATGCATTTATCTCGACCCCTCTTTGTCTTTGACCAAACTATACAACGCGTAATGACTTTAATGGGTGGATGTACAGAAACATGAAAGCCTAGTTTGGTAATATAAAAAACTTGTCCGAGCAGTTTCTAAACAATTGACCCATCTGCTTATCTGTATTTATAACCATTCCGCTCTGTCTAACACTACTTTTTTATTTTATGTTTTTATAACCCATTATGCTTAATTTCTCGAGCATTGCAGTTTTTATAGCAAGCTCTGTAGAGTATTAGAAAGAAAAAAGCATTAAAATGTTGCAATGTTAATCCAATCAAATATTATTTAAATCTTACGTCCTTGGCTTAGTGATGGCGATACCTACCAGTTGACATTCTGATCGATCAGAGTCCCTCTTGATCTAATGCTTGTCACGGTGTGAGTTGAGGCTGTGGAATCCACAATTTTAAGCTGATATGTTAAATGAAAAATAAAATAAAAAGTTGATTCGAAGTTCGATCTTGTTAGCATTATTCTGATATAGTTGGAATCATCATGTCTTGCCTTTTTCATTTCTTTGGGAGGTGAAATGATGAAAAATAGTTCATTCATGAAGATGTTTAGCCCAACATATTGTATTATTTTTCTCATTTTAAACCTAACATTTGGTCTATGAGTTTTTTACCACTGAAATTGGTTTCTAATTCCCCACATGTTAAACGTTAACCAATATGTTTCGCTTAATGCACAAAAACAAAGTTAATGTTTTTGTCGGGTTTTACATTGTTATCTCATTAAGGAGAACGAAGCTTTCGCTCACAACAACCTGTTAGAGGAAGGAATCGTATAGAAAACCCCTAAACATTAATACAAAGCCGTTTTATTGGAAAACATCAATTTACATCACAAAAAAACTTGTACTTTCCCTCATGAATGGCATTTGGTTGAGAAATTTTCCAAATTAACATTTGGCTAAAGTAAACCAAATATGTTTAAAAGATATATTCTTTAGAAGTTTTAATTGATATGCTAATGAATGGTTGAAGATTAAGCTGGCCTATTTAAAAAATTATTATTTTATATTTAGGTTGGTCTGATTTAATTAAAAGGGATGCTGATATTCCGCATGATGCCCTAATATCTCTTATCAATTAATTCAAAATGATATCATCAAGATAGTGGCTTAATTGAAAAGATTTTTTTTATAGATTCCTTGTAAGGACCTTCAGGTCTGTTGGTACTGTACTTAGAGGGTGGATTATTTCCTGATGCTGTTTCCTTTTGTTGTCTGTTCACACATTTCTTCAAGATTCCAGATTCTCCGTATTCCTCAAAAATAATTTTGAGGTAGAGGACAGGGAGGCAATGTCGTCAATGGTTGTTCATTTGGGTAGTTGTCAGACACTCAATGTATGCAGCCATTTGTCCAACAATTACCTACATGAATGACATTGCACCCCCCCCCCCCCTCTGTCCTCTAATGTTGCATTACGTTTTGATTGGGCTGTTGTTATGTAACTCCCTCTTCTTCAACTTCAATGATAAAATGAAATATTAATTGAAATAATTTGAGATATTACCACAAAGGATGGGAACCCCCCCCCCTCCCTCCCGAATTCCAGTTTTTCCAAGATTACCAAGCATAATTCCAAATTGCCCCTTCAATTAGCCAGATGCATGTAAAGTTGTATTTTATCTCATATAACACCTATTGACTCATTGAATTGCATGTAATTGTTACCCCAGGCCCTGTCGTATCTAGAATCTGCCGAGAAAGGAGTATTACAGAACAGCAATTATAATTTCCATGTGTTATCATCTTTCATTGAAGAGATCATGATGAGCAAACAATGTTGATTTTTATAAATAGAAAATCAAACAAAATTTTGAAACAATGAAGAAAAAATGTTTCCTTCCACCAGATTACAAGGTTAAAAATAACAACATTTTGGAGAGTAAAAATGGCAGCTCTAGAATGCATCAGTTATATCAATTAATTTTTTGTTTATCGAGGATGTTCCTACAAATCATTCAAATAATGATATCAATTTGTCAGTGCTAAGCATACACACACTTCCAACCTATGTTCCTGTTTCTGTTAGGTGTCACCGTCACATGTTGGTTGTCACAGTCACATGTCGGCTGTCACGCCCTGAAAGAATCTGTCAATATTTTCCTAATACATACATGCTTTAGAATTAACTAGAGAGGAATTGTGATAAATATAACTGAATTTAAGTTCATTTATACGTGCAAGCTATATATAAAAGTATAAGGGAAAAATTAGTAAATTTAATTTATTCTTTTTAATGAGATAAACTTGGAATTTAACGTATGATGTTGATTTTTCAGCAGAGGGTGAATCACGTGTAAAAGATGTACAACTGTCATCGTTAAATACCACCATACTTATGCCCCGATGCCGGACATATTGTTTTAAACTTTTTCTTGCTCTTTATTTTAATATCTATTGTAAAGTCACACTTCTTTGTGATCAAAGTCATCGAGTCACGCGACGAGTGGTTAATTAATGACAATTTTGCTCATTCATCTATAAATCAAAACGTTTCTTTTAATGTCCCTTGGGGTCAGTGTAATGTCTTCAAGGATTCTTAAATGTTTCCCAGGATTTTTTGTTTTCACATATTTTGTACTCTGGTATATTTTTGTTTAGTATCTAAGAGTATATATTGTATGAAGTTATAGTACAAGTAATGAGTGAAGTTCCTCACTTTCAATTTTTCCAAACAAAAACTTTGAGGAATCGAAAAATTTTGATTTTGAATTATGTCTTTTTACAGTTGTTGGTAAATATCTACATAAAGATGTGAAAAATATTAGCTAATTCATTCTTAATTATTTGTAATTATTGGTAATTTTAACCATGAAATTATCATCAAAATCTACCTTAGGGTGAATCTCACCATCCTTTTCAAAACAAATGTTGTTAGATCAGAATATTTTTGCAAATCATTTTTAGGGGTTTTGGTCATAAATAGAGCAGTATAATTATGATGAATGTATCAATATGTGATGTTGCATAAGAAATATGATAATTATTTGTTTGATTTAACTAGTTCTCTCTCTGAGTCAAATAAGTTAATGTCTCAAATCTAGTTATACCTGATATATAATTATTCAAGTGATCTCTCCATAATGAGTGAATTAAGCTCCCTACTCCATCAGTCAATTGTGTAACATTAGACAGTTTTGTTATGTCACCACCACGATTGTTATAGTCTCAAACTTTTTGTGGACAGTATTTGGCATTTGGCAGTCAGTGCAGTCAGACGGTCAGCACCTGTAGCAAATAGCATGTTGTTTTGCATGCTAATGCCTTGTAAAATTTAGATTTAAAATATTTTCTTCAAATTTTGAAGCCAGTAACTCTATTGAAATAGTTAATCTTTTTACAAACATTATTTTGGACTCACTTGTCAAACAGAACCAATCTACTTTTTTACATATTTTGTCTCCCGGAGGAGCAAGACTCAAAAAATCTCCCGCCTTTGAAAGTGCCGTGTAATTGGATCAGACTTGTTTCATTG